AACGCCTAATTTGCTTATCAATTTGGCGATAGAGTGGCGAAGTCCCTCCCCTTCCGGGGGACCTTATTTCGGAAAAATCATGTATTGAAGTCAATGGAGAGAGAAAGATTATCTTTTGATCCAGTTTGAATTTTGCAACGAATTACACATATGATGTTTGTCAATTTAAAAGATAATTTTGCAAAAAAATGTGTCGTAAAACTGTGAAGTAACACACTCTGGTCTTGCATACGTCACCAACACCAAGATGGCTGTCACGTTGGCACATTTCACCTCTTTCTTTCAGAATGAAGTGAAACGTATTAAAAGAGGTGAACATCACTACAAGTCTGGGCATGTTAAGAGCTGCACATACGGAAAAGGGGAGTTAGTCGGTTCCGTAAGAGCCAGCATGCGGGACCGGCTTTACAAGGTTTCGGTGAGCAACACGAGTGTAATGTGTAACGTTAATGTACGCGACTCTAGGATTTGTAGTCTTTCTAGTTGAGTATTTTTCATAGTCTTATACTTCAACAGTTTTAAGACAAACTGACTTTTTTGACATGGAAATGATTTTTTAAGATTGACAAACATCCTATGTGTAATTAATGGCACAATTCAAACGGGATCGAAAGATACGTTTTCTTTCTCCATTGACTTCAATACATAATTTTTCAGAAATAAGGTCCCATGGGGCGGAAGTAGATGGGCGTGACTTCGCCACTCTATAAGCCTTTGTCTAAAATGGACAACATTTTAACTAAGGAGATTTAAACTATACAACAATTCTGCACTTTTCATTTTCCTTCCTGCTATATTCAATGAGTGATACAAATATTTGTTACCACAAGTTCTCAATAAAACTGACACTGTTGGACTCGGTACTAGTTGACTGCTACCATAAATAAAATGAAGTACTTTACTGTGTACTTTGTAAGTAATCCTCTGTCAGAGTCCCCTCCATAGTACATAATGCATGTTTTCTGCTATCTTTAATGAGTGATACAAATAAAATGTTACCATTAGTTCTTAATGAAGTTGATACTGTTTGACTTTGTATTAGCCTACTACTTACAATACATTGAAGTACTTTTACTGTGTATTTTTTGAGAAATACTCTGTCAAAGTCCCCTGCTGAGAACAAAATCAAGCCACTTCTGCTAAGTTTGATGAGGGAATTATTTTTTGTTGCCATTAGTTCTTCGTGAGATTGATCCTGTTGGACTCAGTACTACTGAAACTACCCCCACAAGTACTATGAAGTACTTATTGTGTACTTTTCCAGTAATCCTCTGTCAATGTCCCCTCCCGACTACAAGCATTCTTGTAGTCGGGAGGGGACATTGACAGAGGATTACTGGAAAAGTACACAATAAGTACTTCATAGTACTTGTGGGGGTAGTTTCAGTAGTACTGAGTCCAANGGGATTTGCTGCGAAACGGGGACGTTTTGTTCCCATTCCGGACTGTGTTTACAGCTTCAGCAACACGCTAACATTAAAGCTACAGCTCACTTGGGGTTGGGAAGTTCGTTTACACGTTTGCTTGCCCACATCTGATCTCAACATAGTAATGTTGTGTGGGGCAAATTTTATTTAAAGTTCTTTAATAATTGTGATTTATATTACATTTATTGTGGCAAATAAGACACTGATGGGGGCATTTGCCCCCTCGTTGTCTTTTTGCCCTTATTGCCCCCTTTTGCCCCTCGTGGGCGCCGGGCCCGGTGTGTTGTTGTGTGTTGTGTTGTGTGTGTGTGTGTGTGTGTGTGTGTGTGTGTGTGTGTGTGGTGTGTGTTATGTGTGTGTGTGTGCTCAGCCTACCCGAAAGTAATTTTGCACCAATTGGTCTCATAGTTATATGTGTGATTCCCAGTGAAGAATTGTTTTAATCTTAATTCTCGTGTGTTTACAGTTATAGTCTGCCGGAGTGCACCGGAACGAAGATTACTATCATAAACAAATGCCCCCCGACGGGCAACACACACCAACACACACACAACACACACACCACACACCACACACAACCCAACAACACACACCACACACCCACACACACACCCACCCACAACACCACACCACACACCACACACACACAACACAACACCACACCACACACCACACACACACACAACACACACACACCAACACAACCACACACACACACAACACACACACACCAAACGAGGCCACGCTTTATTAATCTCGTGGCACGGTCTAAAGCGCCGGAAAGAAGTGGCCACGTTTTTTTAATTTTTTCTCTATGAACCCTCCACGGGTCTCCGTACGATCTGCAAAACGCTAAATATTTCACATAAAAAAGGATCTGTGGATATTCTTAACATTTATCAACTTTTGTCGGCATTTGTTGATCCATTTTGTATTTTGCGACCAAAATGCACTTGCAGATCTCACATCTCTGTCGTGGGATGTCTTTTTACACCACGGAATTTTTGGCTATTGGTCCGCGTGCTAATCTACTTCGTGTCACTCGGGTTATTTCGGACACCGTGATGCCCTGCTGAAGACGCATTTCCGCATGATTCAAAAAGTAGAGCATGATGGTTTGTTTAATGTCTCTTTTTTTATTATAATGAACGGCGGACGTTTAGATGCTGTCTTTATACCATCATCATCATCTCATCTCATCTCATGCATCATATCATATCGATGTTATTGTGATACAGTTAGGTTTGACTGTTAGTTTTTGGTTCAATATATATATGATAGCTTTTCGTTGTGTTGAAGTACGGGTATACGCCTTTCGGTCCGGGGGCAGCTGGCAGTGAGCGAGCCCAGATAAAACTCTTTCTCTTGTTCTGTTGTGTACGGTATCTAGTCAATCAGAGAAAATCAGGACAATTCTGGACTGTAGAGTTTTCCAAATAAGAGCCTTTTACGTTATATATTGAGCTATCACCCTTCTGTTGTTTAGATAAGAATAAACAACTATCCAGTATTTCAAGGGATTATTTACTTCAGGGGTGGTAGCAGGACCCCCCCGTCTAATCAGGCTCAGAGGGATCATGGACAATTCTGGTGTACAGTTCTCAAAATAAAAAACCTTTGAGAGTCTCAATATATGAGATATCGTCCTTCTGTTTGTTCCAACGTTCACATGTTCGATTTACTTTGAAGCCCAGAATTGTCCCCCTTTTTCTTTAACAGTGGAAGGAAAATTGTTAATTTAATGATATATTGACCCGCAAAACTCAAATGTCCCGGTTTTAATTTTGAAATCTGGTCACCTTTCTTATCTCATATTCTGTTCAGAAAACTAGACGACAAAGTTAAACAAACTACAACACCACAGACTGTCTGTTTCATGGCGAATACAGTCGCTGGTTTTATTTTTGTCTGTGTAGGGCCGTTGTTGTGAGTGGTGCGACAGTCGGGACATATACAACGTTAGCTTAGCCATTCGAAAAACACGCATTTTAAAAGGCTTTTCGCCTGCCGATCTCCCTGCAGACTTGTCAAAGCATTAATTCATGGTTTTTACTAACCGGTATCAGTATGTTGTTACTTCGGCATCATTTTGAAACGTGTATTACAATTAAATCACAGTAAAATATGTTCATTTTGTTGTAGTTGCCAGCGATTCTCTCACTAGTTTAGCATACTCAGCCCGGTTGTTGGTCCGGAAAGAACCTAGATTTTGGAGAGCCAGAAAACTGAAAAAGTACCCGCTAGCCGGAAACTATGCCTAGTGGAAACGCGACCAAAATGGGCCGGGCACGGCACGCTTAAACCGCGCTCCGCGCTGTAGTGGCAATGCGCCATAAAATCCATGATCTGTTTGTATTTTGAGCAAAACACATCATCTTTTTATATATTTTTATTTATCTGAGACCCATAATATATGCCTTAAAATAGCATGATAGGTGCACTTTAATACAAATGATCAGCTAAACAGCTTGAGGCTGTTGGATAAGATTACAGTGAGTGTTCAGGCTCCGAAGCTTTAAAGTGTATCACCCAAAAGGTAGAATGTTCCCTTTAAAGACTACAATATTAGTTAACAATCCTAGCTCAAGGACAACTTTCAAACCTTTTCAGGAGTTTTTAGTAAGCGTGTGCGGTTTGTACAGCAAGATGAGATATTGATCTGTTGACATGAACGCTTAGCAGCTGTTGACTTTATCCATAAAATCTATATGACTTCTCAAGACGGCTTAAAGTTATGCATGGGAGTATTCTTGACCTTGAAAATAACAGTTTGACAATGAAAAATCAGGGACCACCTATCAGCTTTTTCCAAGGCTTTAAGCCTTGTTACACTGTCTATATTAGGAGGTCTTTCAGTAATACCTTAAATCTGTCATCTTAAACTCTGTCTGTGGTTATTTGTTGTTGTTGTTGTTGTTGTTATTGTTGTTGTTTTTGTTGTTGTAACAATAATAGAAAAATGCACAGCATTATTTGTGATGACATTAACACAGTTGATCGTTTTGTATAGTTTTGCAATTATCAAATAAGTTATCTAATTTCACAGAAGATTGAACATGCAAGGTTAATCTGTTAATTCAAGCTTTCCAGTGGGCCATGAAAGTGATGTACATTGCCAGGACCCTGATGCAGCCATCATTCCTTTTTCTTATAACCTCTGTCAATGCGGTTATGTTTTCAGCTCAGGTTGTTTTTGTCTGTTTGTCTGCAATATCACAAAATAATACTAGTACGACTTCCTACATTTCGAAATGGGAGTATACGAGGAGAATGTGAATGCACCATTGGCCTTGGTGGATGTCTGTTCTTTCTATACTAATATGTAAAAATGACTTTTGTCAAAAATGGCAATGGAAAGTAAAATATCAGTTGACTGGAATTTTCAAATTAATTGATTTAGAACATATTTATTATGAAAGTGGACCCAAACTCGACGTGGTTGGAGGTCCAAATTTGATTTAAAACATATCTAGGTTAGTATTGATGTGACCCCAAACCCACCGTCAGTCCGTCTAAATCTTGGAGTACAACTTCTATGACTCATGGTGCAGCCACCCACTGCTGTCCCCAGCCTGATCAATATTCATTTCAAGTGTGATATCAGCAGGCTAAAGCCACAGGTACTCAGGCCGGCTCCTGCAGCCTGAAAAAGAGAGCACGGCCAAGGCCAGGACCTGCTCAGTGAACCATGCGGATGGCCACTCAATCATTACCACAGTCCCTTGGCTAAGTTTAGCAGGGAATCCAGGACAAGTGGATCAGATTACAGACACTCACACAAGCATATACACACACACACACGTAGAGGGGAATCCCAAACAGATTAATCCAAATGTGGGTACAAACTGTACAAGCTGTGTTAAGCAAACGTTAACAGGCTGTAAGTAGATTCTCTTGCAACTAATTTCAAGCTGTTATTGTCATCAGCAGCTGTTTCACAATTACCCTATATTCCTCTTTACTGATTCACAGCTCCTTTTTAAAGCTCACCACTTCCACTTCATTTGAACTACATCCCCATTTCACTTCTCTGTCTGACACAGGCCATTGAGAGAGACACCACCTTGCACTTTTATTTTCAGACTGGCAAACCCCTCCAGACAAGAAATTACCAGAACACATGCGCAAGGTAAGTGTGTATATGATGTGTGTTGGTGCATGTGCCTGTATGTGTTGCCATTTTTCACCTCGCCTAACCCAAACCATTAATCATTTGCAGCAATTCAGTAGCCACTACACTCTCACACTTATAGCCAAAACAGACATATATGGACACACACACACACACACACACACACACACACACACACACACACACACACACACACACACACACACACACACACACACACACACACACACACACACACACACATTGAGCTGCTAGAATTAATAGGTTGAGGCAGCAAAGCAGGACAGGATAATAGAATCTAAACAACAAGGCTGTAGGGAAAGAGAAAAGAGGAAATGAGAAATGGGAAGGGGAGGCGTCTGGACAGAGACAATTTATCATTGCAGGAGGTCAGAGAAGTGGAGGTGAATTTGTGGCGGAGAAGGAGAGGTGAGAGGTCAGATTGATAACTCAGAGTAAATGTTGGATGCAGAGAAATACAAATTTCGTTTTGTCCAGGTGGCATTCTCATTAACTTTCCCTCTAAATGTGCATAGGTGTTGGTGCAGCAGTTTTAAAGAGCACAATGTTTTGTCAGCCATATTCTTGAGAAGACTACACACTCCACTAATGTTCATATCTTTCTGCTAATGGAAAATGGATAAGAGTGTTGGCAAGTCAATATCTGTAAATGCACATGTGGACTATGGATCACAGAAAGAAAAAAATGTAAGAAAATGTGATTACAAATGTCAAATACAAATGTGGAAATTACTTTTGTTTTGTTTTGGTATTTTTAAAGTATTTATTGACTGGCTTTAATGGATTATTTCTTTTTGCACCAGGAAGCTGTCACAACCTTATCTCTGTTTGGATTGATAAGCCCTGCCTTTGTTAGACTTTTAACACACCCAAACCAATACAGCAATAAAATAACTGAGTCACCTGCTAAGCATGCAAGTTGTATCTCTGTCGAATTACCTGGAAAACACGCCTTCCAATGGTAGCTGGATTCTAGATTAAAGCATCTGGCAGATCATTAGACCTCACATGCTGACTGAAGAACAACACATACTGTAGGTTACAATGTAGAAGCATTCAAGGCCAATGTGCTGTAATCTACTTCCCAAGCGCAAGTACGGTGAGGGGGAGTGACAAAACAATGGAGGCACAGAAAAATAACTTTGAAGTGATTGACTTTGAAGTAGCTAAATCACAACTAGAAAATGCATCTCCTGCAGAAAATGCGTGTGAATGCTGTAAACTGTGAACATTTGTGGCTGAATTTAGCTGAAAATGCAGAAAAAGCTGAATATTTGATAAGTTGAATGTTCTCTGTAGCTGGTTTTAGCTACAAAAACCAAGTAAGTGTGTTGCTGAACTTAGCGGAGAAATGCAGAAAAGTTAAATGATTTGAATCAAAATTGTTACAGCTCAAATGCATTGCAATGACTTTGTTGGAAACTTGAAAGTGAAACGTTAAACTGGAAGAGTAGGAAAAATATTGAAGAAGCTAAATATTTAAAAGAAAAGGTTTAAAAAAGGTATACACAGCAACATGTATAGCCTCAATGTCCTGAAATAGCTGAATAATTTATTAGTTGAATGGTTTCTGTAGCTGAAAGTAGGCTGAAGGAGTTGCATATTAAATGTAAGTAGTAGTGAATGAATGTTTACAAACACCTGTGTGTAAGGTAAGCCCAGAGATCAAAGGTTACCACGGTGACGACGTTATCAAAAATCTGTGTACGTGAGCCCAGAGATAAAAGGTTTCCATGGAGATGTGCTGTGAAGGGAGAGCCTTTCCATTGTTCTGAATGAGAAATAAACCTCTTACTTTTCTAACTATAGTTTAAAAATGGTAGCTGCTTTTGGTCAAATGTAAACAGCAGTCACACTAATAAGAAGAAGTAGATTAAAGATTTGAAGAACTATAGTGGAATGCTGTAAACGGCATTCACACTAATACTACTACTAATAATAATAAGAAGAAGAAGAAGAAGAAGATTAAAGATTCGAAGAACTATAGTGCGAATGCTGTAAACAGTATTCACACTAATTATCTCTCCTTTCTGTCTCTGTGCTGCTCTCGCTGTGCGGTGTGTTTAGGTTCATCGACAAAGTAGCGCTGTAAAGTCATTTTGGTGTTGCAGTGGGGAGCTTTTTATGTAATGATCTCTCCTAAAGATGTACTTTGTTGCTTGTTAGTACAACATAAAGAAACTGCTATCTCCGACACATTTTCAGAATTCATTCCTATTTACTGCTGCTATTTCTGGATGTGAACTGGCTAATGTTCAGTGACATAAAAGTAAATGCATAGTATTTTCACCAAATCTGTGGAGTTATTGGGGCCATTCCATTAACATTAATCCACATTTTTATTGAAGTATTTTTTTATTCATGATAGTTTGACTTGACCCACCTCTAAGGCAGGACTTTGAAGCAGCTATAGTCCATATTTTTACATTAACACCTAAACCTAACTTGTAACTGAAAAGAGTTGCTCTTAGCAACAAACTCATAGGAAATAGACGGCTAGCCCCATCCGGTTAACAACAAACATTCTAAGTGTATCTGCCCTGTGTTTTGGATCGCTTCAAAATCTAATGGATTCTTCATGGCTCATGCTACACCCTTTCAAAGTTTAACTAATTTTGTGCCAGGAATGTTTCAGTAATCCTGCCAATAAACGGACAAACAAAGCAAAAACATAACTTCCTTGTTGGAGGTAATAAGAACTTTTTGAACACAATGGGTGATGCCAACAAAGGTGTTCATGAGTTAATCGGATAGGGCTGTGGTGGTGCATCAGGAGGGAACTAAATGAGACACACACTGGTACAAAGCTTCTATGTCTAAATAGTATTTTAGCTTGGTTCTATCTCCACATTTTCTTGCAGCATGTTTTCTCCTAATTGTATTTCAGAGCAATCCATGTTTGAAAATGTATATCCTGGAGTCAGCATGTGACTTGAGTTGCAGTATAAAATGTTTGCTAATGTTCTGTTTACTGTATGTTCATCTAGGTGTTGGCTCTGTTTGAGGAGGGAGAGGAGTCAACCACCGCCTTTGTTGAGCCTGTTGTAATTCTTCTCATCCTCATCGCCAACGCTATTATCGGGGTCTGGCAGGTGAGATATTGTCTCCATGTTGTGTCGCTGTATACACACATTCACACTACTAAGGCTGTTTCCACATGGTAACAAAGGCTAGCATGCCAATGAAGTCAGTAAAGAAACATAATGTTATCTTGTCCACCAGCTGTTGCCCAATGCACCGTTGGTATATTTGTATTAGTGTGCCATGTCCAAACATGTTCTAACATCTGTACGTCAAATGGCACTTTGCAAAGGGCTGAGGCTGTACACACCTGAGTTTGCAAGTCCGTGCGTCAAGTCAAAACGTAAACAAACCAGGGAGCTCATGCAAAGTGCCCCCGCGGTTCATTTGTGTTAAAGAGGCAGATGGAATTTTTGATGCAAGCTCCAAAAATAGATCCGGAGCATCCATCAGCACTTCTGGAAAGAAGTCTGACACTCAGTTTTAGGCTGCTGTTAGGACACAGTGGATAACTCTTCAAAGTGTTTCCAATATGGGAGCAAATGTCCAAAAACAACCATGAAACTACTCATTCAAACTATTTCAAAACAATATTTGTGGAGGATTATAATTCATTTTAAGACTCTCCAAATTCAAAGAAAGAAAATTGTACTTCAAGGTGCTGGAGAGAATGCTGTGAACAGATGGTAAACCACAGTCATATATTGTGGTCATGTAAAGCTTCTATTAGAGAACTATCAAATATTATATTTCTCTAAATAATAACCCACTAATCCCATTTCTTGGAGAAAATACCAGACAACATCAATCAAAGGATTGTTCCTAGTAAAAGTAGGAGTAATTAAACAAATGACAAGAAGTTGGTTCATAGATGGTAACTTAATCAACTCCAAATTGAAGGATGTTGTAAATAAATGAAAATGAGTTGATAGCCTGGAATCATCACTCAACATCACTGACACTTCACTTTCCTGGCTGAAATCCTACCTCACCAACAGACACCAGTTCATCCATATCAATAACTGCACTTCATCCACCGCCTCTCTGTCCCGATGCTTCCCCCAGGGTTCAGTGCTTGGTCCCCTCCTTTTCATCCTCTACATTCACCCCCTTGACAAAATCATCCGTCGACACAGCCTTCAGCTACCTCACTGACCTGCTCCACCACCACACCCCCTCCCGCAGCCTTCACTCATCAGAAGCCACCTCTTGTCTATCCCCACACAAATCAAGCACCGGACCTATGACAGAGCATTCTCCATCGCTACCCCCACCCTCTGGAACTCACTCACACAACAAATCAGAGACTGTACTGACCTCCCCACCTTCAGAACAACATGTTATTGTTCAACTTTTCTTTCTACTCTAATACTTTGATATTTAATTTATTTTTATTTTGGGGTCTTTGCCTGCATGCTTTTCCATACTATAACATGAAAGCTTAAACTAAATATATTCAAAACCTCATACTACCTATTTTCTTTTTTAAATGACTTCCTTTTTGCCACATGTCTTTGTTACAGGAGCGCAATGCAGAGAATGCCATCGAGGCTCTGAAGGAGTACGAGCCAGAGATGGGTAAGGTGTACCGTATGAACCGTAAGGCTGTCCAGAGGATCAAATCCAGAGACATCGTCCCGGGCGACATCGTGGAGGTGGCAGGTGAGCAGCCGCTGCCCCCAGTGGAACTCTAACTGTCACACTGAGACTAATTTACGCTTTGTCTACCTCCAACACTGCTGTCACCTCGCTGCCTGTACTGTATAACACTGCTGCCACAAACACACAGCCTTTGCCACCCATTCATGAGTCTGGAAACACTATTGGAATATCTCAGAGTAGATTTGTGTGTGTGTGTGTGTGTGTGTGTGTGTGTGTGTGTGTGTGTGTGTGTGTGTGTGTGTGTGTGTGTGTGGTCAGTAATATTTGAATACAATACTGTTATCCTCTGATGGTTTGTGATCGTTCTCCTGTGAAAGCATCCCCACTTTCTCCTCCCTTTCCCACTCTCTCCCCATGCCTTTCCCGGCAGCTAGTAAACATGCGTGTGTTGATGTGTGTGTGTGTGTGTGTGTGTGTGTGTGTGTGTGTGTGTGTGTGTGTGTGTGGTCATCCCTTATATTTAAGTCCCGGTTTAATTTTCCGCAGCTTCCCCTCCTTTTCCCTTTTTTGCTTTCCATGCTCTCAGTCTTACCACCTGGACGCTGCTGTATGTTTGTCAGCTCCTCGCTCACACTCCCCCATCATTACATGCACATACACACAGTCCCCCCGCTGTAAACTCGCCCATGTGTGGGCAGCCTCGTCTAAAAATAGTGTTGTTGTCACTTCGGTTCCAGAACATCTGTGTGTGTGCCAGAGTTGATGAGTGAGCGCACACATGCAGCCTCGAGGAGATCACTTCACCGTCGACATGAGAGCGAAATCCTCGGCCTCGCATGGCCGGTGATTCGTCTCAGACGGCTGTTTGGGGAAAGAGGGAGAGCTCAGGATGCGTGTGTGAGAGAGCACAGCGTTCATTCATAATCACAGCACGTAGAGGCAGGGAGTGATTATACATGCTGCATTGGTTACAGTAAAGCCCGGGTGCTATCCGATTTCACTGAAGGTTTCCCTGCTATTTGCACAGGTGGGAAAAAAAACTAAAGTTTTACAAAAAATGTTTTGTCGTATTTAACTAAATCTATCCTTATAGTTAACTTATGTGTCGTAAACCTGTGGTAACGTTACATAACGTCAAATCTATTTTCTGTAGCTGCTAACGGAAAATCGTTCTAAAAGGTATTAAGAATTGACAAAATGCTCTTACAGTAGTTCCTAGTTTCTTATTGTCTCCTCGCATTGCGTTTCTCTATATTTATGCTAGCAAGGTGAATTAGGTATGATTGAATTCGATATTTTTGGATAATGCCATAGAGTGCATGTTAAATATCGGTTGTTAGAGGTATGAAATATTATGAAGTCTACAGATTCGGGTTGCCGGATGCTTTATTACTTCAGGTTTTACATGAGTATCATATCCGTGTTATTCTCATGAACGTAATTTCTTAAAGAACCCTTAAGGGAGTTTCTTGTTCTTCTTCTAGAACTTGCTGCTCATAGGGCAGTGGCACTGTGATCTTTTAAACACTTTTTTGGCCATAACTCAAGAATCATACAGTATGCCAGTTATAAAAATGTCACACGAATGTCACTTAGGGGGGTACAATAATGAAGAGATTATATTGAAGCCTCATGGATTTGAACTCCAACTTGACAGTATAAAGCCACTTAATGCTATGGCATACGGTATTCTAGCCCAGGAAAAGGCTTTGCATTTTTTTTAAAATACATTTTGTCCATAAAAACGTTTTGGAACCCTGTTTACAGCGCGTCTACTTTGATTACTTGCATCGGAAAGTAGTGAATTACACCTTGTGAGTATGTGCGTTAATGTGCCGGTAGCACCTCCTTGGAATTCTTTTATTTTTCCTTGACAATATGTAGAAACACTGTTTACAGAGAGTCTAGGCTACATTAATTGCGTGGGAAAGTGGCGAAATCTACCTCGTGTGTGTGTACGTGCGTTTATGTGACGGGTAGGACTTCCTTGGAATCTGGGCTTGTTACAGCCGGTGTCCTCCTTCACACATGCGTGCGCACACTGCCAAACACAGACAAGCCCACACAGGTAGCAAGCCCCAAACTGACTGCTCAACACCCACCTTCCACCACTACCGCCGTCCCCGTCAACACCAACAGTGTCACTATGACAACGCTCCATGCGGCGACTCATCTCGGCGACGGTGAAGTTCACCGTTTTTAACAACACCTGTGATGACAGCGTGGAGGACAGTTCAGACTTAAAATGAACCATCTGCTGTTTGAATAAGGGATTTTATGTTCTGGCTGTCTGTCAGCAGCTGCTCTCTGATCCATATTGGTTTTCCCGCTGTGGGGAAATAGGGGGCATGCAACAACATTGACTACTTTTTAATTTTCAGTATTTTTATTCTAAGGAGACACAGAAATGATTAGGGTTTTTGTCATATGTAACAACTATCCAAGGACAATTTATATATAATAGATTGCATGGATGGCTTTTTGTCTGTTAATAAATAAACATTAAAGCACAATTAAACTGGTTTAATACAAATTAAATAAATGATTCATTATGATGCAGAAAAGGCATTTTCTAACAGTTGGATATTTCTCTGTTGTTGGCATAGTAAACTCTCTTTCTAAATGCATGTCATTATTGTCCTTACATGGTTTAGAAGGTGATTGTGTTTCTTTTAGCAGCCAGAGAGATGGCTGGACACATAAGTGTGAAACTGTCAGACTGAGGCAATAGTAGAAGCTATTCAAGCTTGTTTTAAGTACAGAGTGCATTTACTGTCAGCGTTTACTTTAAGGAGAGGTATGAAGATGGTGTTTTGCACACTGCTGCATTTCTGTATAACGCACACAGTCGTATATTAAGCGCTTCGTTCATTCTTTCTGACATAATCTTGTTGCTAAGCAGTTTTAAACAGGGGTAAACAGCAAAGGCAGGAACCCACTCTTCTCACTCAGAAAATGTGTGTCAGATATTTGTGCACACCCCCTCTGACTATAACTGTAGGGTGATGGTGAAAGGGAAAACAAATGAATATTTTCCCTTTACTCCACTGTTTTCGTCTTCTTCTATGTACTTCAGATTAGCCTGTGGTAACTTTAGAGTACTGGATGCAAGCGGATGAAACTAAAGGGCCTCATTATGCTTTTTTGGCTTTTCCCTTTCCTGTAGTGGGTTAATTGTAGTCCTTAACTACAAACATGGTGAAATCACTATGTAATAATTGAACTTCTATTGGATAGCGCTCCAACATATTGCACATGATGGGGTGGGATATCTCTAAGGGGTTGACCACACAAACACAAACCAACCAGCCAGCCAGTTAACCAATCAGAGCAGACTGGGCTCTGGTTTCAAACAGAGGGTGAAAAGAGGTGCTGCAGAACAGGCAGTATGAGAAAAATAAAGACCTTTTTGAACATTAAAGTAAACCATGTCACAGACAGTAAAGGCACAAAATACAAGTATGAACCTGAACAATTATAATAATAGGGCCCTGTAACACAAACATAAATATATTTACTCTAATTTCTGCTAATAGCCAGCCTTCTTCTTAGTATATTGCTATGATGCCAGCCATGGTTTGGACACAGTTTTGATTTGCGCCTCCACCGGAATTTCCCTTGGCTTTTTTTAATGGAGTGACTGCAGTGGTCAGGTTGTCGGGAACTCCTCGAGGGTTTACACAGGACCTAAAGAAATGGAAAGCCTACAAGTCATGATGGTTAGCTTGGATGTGGATGAAGATCTCTCTGCCAGTATATTATGTGAGAGATTCCAGTCCAGTTTTACCAAATGGAAGGAAAACGCCAGCTGGCCTAACCAGCTGACCTCATTTGGTTTAACGTCTATTCATCTGTACTTTAGATGTTTTTTTTTCTTTTTTGATACTTGAAAGCATTACGAATCTTACTAATTTCTGAACCTTATGATATTTATGTGAACTCACAGTGGCTGTTGTAGGATACATTTATCTTCTAGCAGATGGAGACTGTCTGTGGGAGGCCGTGGCAGAAAGTGTATCGGGGAGCAGGAG